AAATAAATCTTTAAAAAAAAAAAAAAAAAAAAAAAAAAAAAAAAAAGAGTAGAAGCTATACCGATTGAACAGGTTTATCTATAACTATTTCTTAAATATATGTGTCAACATTTTTATTACTGAAGAGCCAGTTTGTGAACTCCTTCTCATTTCTGAGTCCACATTCAAGACAGTCCACATTTTTGTGACAGTGAGAATGGCCACTAGCCACTAGCCCCTGGCCACCACTGACAGCCTTTCAGGGGAATTATTAAGGGCAAAATAACATCAGTGGTGAATAGGAATATTGATTGTTTGTTTCATGCTTCTTCTCTCTTGAGTGTATCCTGGTGTCTCCAAGAGGCAACATGACATACTATTGGCAACCGAAACACCTAAGCAAATATGACCCTCTTTGAGATCAGATACTACAGAGGTTTGCAAGAATGTAAAATTATGTGACTCTTCTCACTGTTTTGTTTTTGAAAATAGCTATAGTTAATTTTATCAAAATGTCATTTTTTAACATGTTGAATATTATTATTGTTTGACTCTCAAGTTTAGTATGGTAAATAGTGCTAAATATCACCCACAAAAATAAATTTTTTTTGCAGCCTTCAATAATTTTAAGGACTCTTAAAAGAGTCCTGAGATCAGGGTTCAAGTAAAGCTGCTGTTTATTATATTTCTCTATTTTCACTCAGCTATCTCCTGGGTTCACAGGAAGGCACAGTTGAGATATGAGAAGGAAGGAGGGAAAAGGAGTTGATTCTTAATAATCAAGATGCTCTTCTTACAACCTTCTAGACTTTGAGCCTCCAGCAAGTGAGTCCAGTAGCATTAGGTTTATTTCTTTTGAAGGATCACACAGTGGTTCATATACAAACCTTGGTCAGGCTCATAGAGTCTGACTTCCAGGACTGCAGACCCTTCGTTGAGTTCCTGAGTTGCCAAAACTGCCAGAAAGAGCATTCCTTCCACAAAATGCTGTCAGACAACAACCCTGCACCCCAGCTCCACGAGGCCTTTCTTTCAAACTTCTGGAAGCAGCACATGCTTCCTGTGGTTTACCTCTGCATTGGCTCAGTCTTCCTCTTTGTTTTTTCAGTCCTCCACAACAGTTATCCAATACCCTATTCTGTACTCTTGAGGGGAGTATATTAAGATTTTCTGTTTTCCTAACTGGGTGTCGATTAGTGACAGGTATTATTGTACTGACATCTTTAAATAGCTACCCATAATGAGAGTACCTATCATCTCTATGGTGACAGAAATTTAATTAAGAGATAATTAAGATAGTTCTGGACTTAGATGTAAAATGTAAGAGAATAATGATAGTTTGCACAATTGATATTATGTTTTCAAGACATAACTGCATATCTTTATGACCACATTTTCAGATATAAAGTTCTACATTTATCTAGTCATTTAAAAGAATTCTTTCTATAGATGATAAAAATAGCTCTTAAACTTATTACCTAAATTAAGACTTCAAAGATATTGAATGACAAGTGATGGATTATGATAAGATTTTTTCTCTAATGTTTAGCTAATACTATGTTGGAAACAAATTACTTTTCATAATCTTATTGTGAAAGTACAAATCCTGAAATACAAGCAATTTTGAAGCCAATGATCTCTTATGAAAAACTTGATACCAATTTTTCCTTTGAAATTTTTACCATATATAAGTTTTAAAGTAAATAATTAAACTTACCACCTGAAAGGAGAGCAGGTTTACTCTTTACCATTGGACTAGAGCGAGGAAACTTGTTACTAAATGACATGAAAAGGTGTGCTGTGAAATCATCAGGAAGTTCAGCTTCCAGAAACGTCTTCATAAATAACTTGAAACCTTCAAAATCTATGGTCTGAAAAAGAAATTTGAAACCTATATTTTAAGATCCAGGCAATGTTAAGCTTGTGCTAAGTTCAAAATCATCAGTAGTAGATATGGCCTCACACATTTTTGTGTTCATGTTTACACAGGAATCTGTTTAAGGAGAAATAGATTGGCCTGCTATAGGCTAACACTGGTGATGAGATAGGTATGTCTTACCTGTGTTGGTACTACAGGAAAGGCAGTTTTCCAGTCAGACATGTCTATTTCCACAGTATCTGTATGACTTTAAATTTTTTTCTTTTTGAAATTTAGCTTTCTCATCTGAAAATTGGGAATAATATCCCCAGCCCCATGAAGAGATTGATAATTCACTCAGACGACTGAGGTAAACTGGCCATGATGTAGTCATGAGGTCAGGTGCTGTAAATAAAGGTAATTCTCATCTTCCTTTTTCTCTAATGCTGAATATTGCTTTTGACTGTTTGGTAAAAAGTTACTAGCATTAAAGTTTCCACTAGACACTAAGAACAAGCTACATTTGAACAAGCTACATTTGTTCTGGAATCCCATAAATATTGCCTAAAGCCACACCCCTTGGGAGGCTGGTTTGAGAGCATTGTCTCCATTCTTCTACCAGATCACCTCACATTAAACATTTTATTTTCTGAACAGTTGGTAGCTTAGATTCTGGCTTCTGTTTCAGAATGTAGGGTGACACTTACAGATGGTTTTCCAAAATACAAAAGCAATCCACACTTAGTTGGATGAATGAGTAATAAGATAATGCTTAATATGGTTGATGTTTGTGAAGAACCACAAGTTAAATTTATTGCAAAATATACGTAACAAACATCTTCATAATCATTGTACTCAGAGCAAGGTTATTCATACTCACTCTTCTTTTTGTGCCCTAAGTCTTTTGTAGTTAATATGTGTTTGGCAACATAATTGATTTTGGAAGTATTGTTTTAAAGTCAGACTCCTGAGCAATTTAATAAATTCTCTGTCCCTCAACGTTTCCACCTATAAGTGGGAATACAAAACTTACCCCTTGATTTGTTAGGAGAAATTCCAAATAAGCTTCTTATTTGAAGAATAAGCCATAAAATCATATTACCTTAAATGTTTATGCATTAGATTTATAAGTAAATGCATATGCATTTACTAAGTCATTAGGTGGTCTGTTGTTGGGGGAGGTGTTTTTTATTTTTAGAATTTTGGTAACAAAAAGAATAAAGAATTGACACTGTTACACTTATCTGGATCTCATTTGGCATATGATTATATTTAAATAACCACTTAGAGAAAAGTATTTAAATTGATAACAGAAAAACAATAACCAACCACCTAAATAAAAGAAAAACAAGGACTTTAAAATAAAATGATTTTAGTTCTTATTACAGTACCTATTACTTGCCACTTGATTGATTTAGGACAATAAATTTATCTGCTCTTTTAAAAACAAAGTCTGCCAAATGTCAAGTTTGTGCTCTTTATGGAGACTTATAAAACCCAGAAAACCTCCTTAAAATCAGTATCTGTGGTTTAATGACAAAAACCAGAAAAAGAACAAATCAAAAGGAAAAAATGAGCATACATGTATAGCATCCCCCTTATCCAGGAATATGTTTCTCTGTCATCTTTTTTTCCATTCTCAGGAAGACATTCTGAACTTCCTCAAATGTTTTAGTCAGTAAGTAGAAAATAATCTAGTTTTGCCTTTGACAGTTCAAGCTGTCTAGAGTAAGGTCAGCCTTTAGGGTTGCTGCCTTAAAATAATAATAAATGTGTGTAACAAACTTAGCATATATCCTTGGACACATGACTTTTAAAATAAATAAAGAAATAAATAAAAGTATTGGTTTGAGGTTAGTTTGATTTTTTATTATCTTAATTTGCTTATTTGACTAAAAGCTGGAACACACACTACAAATTTCCTAAGTCAAACCTGTAGTTTTTGTATCTTGACATTTTGCCATAATTGTTCTATATCAGACAACACTGGCAAATTACTGTTTTTAGAGAGCAGGCATTTAAAAACAAATTATCTTACTTTACAAAAATAAAAGCCTCTTTTCAGGCATAAGAATGGAAGAAAATTTCCTTAGCTCTTACATGATATTAATAAGTTGATATCATCATGCTTATTACTAAGGTAATAAATTGTGATGTGAACTTCTTCCTCAAATTTCTTTTTCTCTTACATTCTTTGTCATCACATGTAGCTTAAAATGTTGCAAAATAGCAGCTTCAGTGTTTCTGATTTGTGAAGAACTTAATCTTTAATGTCTTTCCTAGTTAATTTAGCTCCCTTTTTCCTTATTATAGATTTCTCATCTCTTCTAAAATTCTACATAATGTAAATTAGGAAGCATTTCTCATTAATGAACAATGTCTTCATTCTATATGTATTTGACAGGAAACTTCCAAATTTAAGTGTTAGATTTACTATTGCTCATGTAGGAATATTAAAATTGGTGTTTGAATACTGTATCTTTTAACTAGAATAAGACCATTTATATGGTTGATGAAATGGAAACAAGGGGGAATAAAAGTTAGATGGGACTTAATTGAATGAGTGTCCAAAAATAAGATTGACTATAAACTCAGAGATACACACAATACAATGTTTAAAACAATTTTAATTGCCTTTTCAGTTTTTTCCCCATAAGGAAAAGTCATAGACTATTTAGGGAGATAACAGAATCTGCAAAGAATACAGACTGAGCGAAATGCTCAGATATTGTTGCCAAATTGGCACAAATACAGAACACATTTCTATATGCCTTTCATTATTATATCCGACCATCTGGAGTCTTTGTTTCGAAATGCTTATTAATGCTAAAGAAATAAAACTAGTATTCATCCAAGTAGATTCAAAGTGAATGAAAATAAATATCGTCATTCTATCATTATTTTGGCAGTTTCAGCATGAGATTTTTCCTATATTCAGCAAGCGTTCATTGTATGTCCACATTGTACTGCATTTCTTTTCTAGGTGTTGGGCTAAAGATGTTACTGAAATATGCAAAATCCTCCCATTGTGGAGTTTATCTTCTAATAAAGGGAATAAGAAAATAACAAAGTTAATAGACTAATGGTAGAATGCATGTTGGTATAAGTGCTGTGGAAAAATTAAAGAAGAGGTTTATATATTTGGGAGGAGACAAAGTTTTGACTCTGATGATTGGAAATCAGGAAACTGTTTTTGGAATAAAGATTTAAAGGAAATTAAGGAAAGCATGTTACTGGTATATAAAGAAACAATATTTCAGATTGACAAAGCAGGTAGTGAAAATGCCCTGAGACGTAAGATGGTCCTGTTTAAGAGGAATTTCTATAGAAGCTCATGAGAAGCTCATGAGGACTAGTGTAATAGAAGATAAGATCTATGATGGCATATAGACTAGGGCAAATTAGCTAGGTATAAGACCATCAGTAAAGTGCTATGGCTTTAACAGTGATTAGAAGGTTTGCAGGGGAAAACTCACATGATCAGATAAGAAGCAGAGGATCATATAACTATAATAACACTATTTTGCATCAGATTAAACAGTTCATTTTTTATTTCCACATTTTCTAACAAACTTTTATGCACAGCTAGCTAATAAATGGCATTCAATAACTAGCTATAGACTAAGTAACTAGCTAACGTGATGAACAAAGAAATTAATTTACTTCTCAAAAAATTTTGACTGAGTACCTATCATGTATAAAATACTTGTGTTAAATATTGTACAAGAACTTTGATCAAATGAAATTATCTGTACCACCAGTCAGATTTTTTTTCATCATTTCCATTTTGCTTTCTAATATAATGTTAAATTGGAACTTGATGTGTAAATTAACATGCAGCACAGCTCACTCCCTGAGATTTAAAATATACATTTTTTCATATTAAAATATCTTCAAAAACTTGCATTTGAAATATCTTATTTTCATTCTTATCTTGTACTATAACTAATTGCTCATAAGTTCAAATTTCAGGAGCTACTTAATTGTCCCTGAAATTTCCATGTAGAAACTTACTCTAATTAGAAAAGGTGAAAATATGAAAATCTGGTATTTTAAAAAATTACTTTTGACAGATGAAAAATGTTTTACTCCCTTATAAACACAGACTATTAATTCTTAGTTTACCTGAAACCCACATTCATTAAGAGACTCAGTTGAGAGAAAATTAGAAACATATTTTTTAATAAAAGATACTAAATGACAAGAATAACAAATAATGGAAGTTATTTTAATATTTACTAAGTGCAAATAATGCTTTGGGAATATTTTACACAGAACATTTATTATGATTTTCAGTATGTTTTGTAATCAAGGATCTGTATCTAATTTTATGTATCAGTTTGAATCCATTTTAATTTAGAATTTAGATATTACTGAATTATTTAGTATTGTCACTAGGACAGATAGAACTATTACTAAAGCACACACATAAATACTCTAGAGTTATTTTTAAAATAAAGCAAATAAAGATACTTTGAACAACAATGCATATGCAGTTTTCATTAGTAATGTCAGCCATTAACTATTGTTTACTGGTATGATCATATTTAAAGAAAACTTGCAAGACAATTAATTCTTTTCATGCCAACATGTGTGCATGCAGATTTAGAATTATAATTTTTCCTGCAAAACTGTAAGTCACAGTGCAACATGGGATTATCTAATGTTTCACAGTTTCTTTTATATTATAGATCCTCATTACATATTTGAGATGTGGACACCAGGGTAGAAAAGATAGCCAAATTTCATTCAATTATATCTTTGTGGGCAATGTACAAAGAGAGAAAGTTTACTTAGGTGAGTTAATACAACAATTTACAATATAAAATAAATACAAAAACCTCAGCAGAAATGTCTTTCATGTAACACATCTAAAATGTGATTATTTTGAAGTATAAAAACTTATGGTGTTAGAGTCAAGTTGTAGCAAATTAAAACCCAATAGCATAAAACCAATGATAACAAAGTTATCAATAAAACCAATAATAACAGTTACCAAGATTTTCAAATTTATAATATGAATAAGTTTGGTGTTTTTAAGACCCATATTTCTACGGTTAGTGCTGGGAGAAACATCAAGTAGAAAAGATATAGGAAACGAGAAAATATTCAATTGGTATGCAAGAGTGAGGACCTGAAATTTTACAAATATATCAGGAAATATTAGTTATTTTGGGGGCTTAAGATTTCCATAAGATGAAGCATTTTGTCAGCAACTTGTAAAATAAAATTATTAGCTTGACACTCTTTGATACTAAAGATGACCAGACACTATGTCTCATGTATATTATGCATAGAATAGATGCATTTGGGATGCAATTCTATAGTTTCTTTTGTACTAAATGTTTCACTCTCCCCCTTTTTTCTCCCTCTTTAGTTGGTATTTTATTCCAAACCTTATAAAGCCTCTAATCTTTTCTTTTAATCTTTATAGTCAATGATGTGTTTTATTATCCATTAAAGGAAAAAGAAATTAGAAATTATTTTTAAAGATTTTTGCATATTATGGGAAAACAATCTGAATGCTACTATGTTCTAGAAATGACTCTATGTATGTAGCTGTATGCTATATTTTAATCTTCACAATAACCCAATAAGCAGCAGTTACTAATATTTTTGCTGGTTTTTCTAGACAAGAAAACCAAGGGTCAGAAAAGTTAACTGCCTTAGGTTAACAGGTACCAATTAGTCCTGAGCACATAAAAATATCTAATTTCAATGGTCTTCTATGTTATGGTTCGTCAGTGTATACTTTTACAGTCAGATTACACCAACATTCACAGAAAGTCTAAAACATGTTGCTACCAGTTTATCAATATAATGTATTGACTCTTCTTTCCCTAATTCTACCATTTCAGAAAAAAAAAGCTAAAAATTATTTAAGAAATATTATAACTATTACTTAGCTGTTAATCTTGAAAATTCTAAATCGACTGCAAATTTATAACCATTTTATACACCTTTCCAGTCATAGCCTTTTATTCTTCTTACCATATATCAGAAGTGTTTCTCAAGTCTGCTCCCAGCTTCCAATATTATGCTCTGGCAGTCCCAGTTTCACCACTTAGTTGGACTGTTCCCATAACTCATTCCTGGCCTTGCCTCCTACTCAAATTTATTTCCCGCATTACCTTTGGAGTTATTTTTTTAATTGGGAAGTTAAATTTGATGATCTTAAAAATATTGCTCATAGTTTCCTCTACATAGTTGAAATAACAAAAATCCCACAAAATTTAAATCTTTCCACTCAAATCCCTAGATTTATTTTCCCCTAGCTCTTTTTGCATTCTAATCAAAAGCAAAACTATTCCTGATAATGAAAACACATAAGCAAGAACAAGAGACAAGCTTTAAAAATAATCTTCAGGTTCAGCAAAAACGTAAATTGTTTGATCTACTTGTCCTTGGAGAAGTGCAAGGAGATCACATGATGTTCACTGCATCACTTTTTCTTCTAACCAATTGTTAACTTTTATAGAAATCACTTAATAAATGTTGTTAAATAATGAATGATCTAATAGAGTGCTTAAACACAATATTTCGATTTTGGTCTTTATTATTATACATAATTATTTATTATTGTTGTTGTTATTGTTATTATTATTATTATTATTAATTATCATTACACTTAGGAGATTTGCAAGTTTATTTTCCAAGTATATTTAAGTTTATTTTTAACCTTCTTATGTAGAGAAAGCAGGTAGAAACAATGAGTCTAATTGCATTTTACCTATCTTTACATTCCTCTGTTTATTATAGAAAGTTAAGGGAAGAAACAGATCACCTGTAGCAGACATTACTTAGCCATATGAAGCAGTCAAGTCATTAATCTAAACTCTCAATTTAGGATAAGATGTAGCAGATGATCTATTCTCTAATTTCTAAATGTGTTGATAGGTATAGGACATTCTGGTTTTTACAAGTTTTTAGAGTTGATCCTGTTGATCCTCAGTGCAATCACTAGAAATCTGCATGAAACTACCTTAGTTGATTTAATTATGATGTAAATAATTAATCTCATAAATATCTATGCATTCCAATAGCTGCCACGAGGGTCCCATTCGATGTCAAAGAAATTCTCTGAATATGAAGGTATAAAAACTAAGAACTATTGTAAGGGAATTTACTACATATTCCAATAATATTACTTAGTCAATATCAAGTTACTAACACGAAGTTGTGGTAGGCATCTTATTCAGTTTGGAGTTATGTTTGCAAAACTGTGTTCTGTTTATAGATTTGATAAGAAGTAGAAGATGATGAAAATCGTGTTGATAGTAATAGGGAAGAGCAGCAAAATACTGCTGAACATATTACTTCCATTCCTTGCTAACTAACTGTCCTGGCATGTATGCAGTTGTCAGATGTAGTCACAACAACAAAAACAATCTTTTTGCTACCAGGACAGCTATCTGGATGGAGGCCAAGCTTGGCAAGGGAGGGTAAACCACATGCCATGTCCTCCACTCATACCATATGATAAGCGGAAATTATTTTAGATTTGAAAAAGACATCAGAGTTCTAGTTCCTTACTTTATAAATGAAGAAACTGAGTATCTAAGAAAATAGTTATGGGATTATTGGGAGTGTCTCTCAGGGTGCCTCATATTCACCTTTCAGACATACTCCAGAACTTTTGCATGAAATCATGCTGGTTTCTGTAGTGGGATGGTCACTGCTTCTAAAGAGTGGAACACCTATGTGTCAGACACAGAATGAATTATTTTATACTCTTTTAGCACTCAATCAGGTCAATATTCTCTTTATTTAATAGACGAATAAAATAAGACTAGGAGAAAAGCAGTAGGTTGTCCAAGAATAGCTAATTTGTGGCAGATGTGGGATTTGAACTCAGTTCAGTTGGACCCCAAGACCAGATTTTCTCTATTAGACTTTCCAGATGCTTTGTTTAATGGGAGAAGTTGAATTTGGTACAAGGAGGACAATTATAGCTTAAATAAAAGGGTGTTTATATCATTGCTAATAATTATAGCAGTGTCAATATCCTTGTTAAAGTCACTTAAAATATTACATTAGGCAGCAGCACTATAGAATATAGGTTCTGAATTCCCAATTTTCTCATTAAGAGACTGAAGCAACTCACTTTTCTGAATGTAAAGGGCCTACACGTTAACAGAAAGTGCTGAAAAGTATACCTAATGCAAAGATAAGAGACACTCAGGGAGCTGTGAAAATAGAAGTCAGCCATGGGTCAAGGCTCATCTGCTGACAGGATATGTGAAGAGACAATCCTACAGTCATTGAACACTGATAGACAGAGAACACATTGAGGTAGATACATATGGCCTATTTCTTTTTTTCCTTGGTTACCCTCAACAGTCTCACCTTAATTTGTTCTTTTTTTACTGCAAAAGACATTGCTTGCCCACTAAACAAATATACAGAGGGAATGATGAGCCAGGAAAAGGAAAGAAGAAATTCATTCTGCTAACTGGGTTGACCCCCTAAAAAGTCACCAGTAGTCAGTCAGCCTCTGGTGGAGATTCGGGCTGTGTATAAAGGTGTGTTTGTTAATCATTTTAATGGCTATGACCTGTCAATGGAGACATTAAAAGAAGCCATTTCTCTGAGTTGGTGCCTCCCAATATCATAAAAATCCATGTGGTTTACCTTGGGGAAGCTAATAGGTTTCTCTGAAATCCAAGCTGCCAAAAGTCATCATAGTCTGTGAGTTGTTTTCAATTTTTTCTCATACAAGGAGGCTATAATATGTATGATCTGTTAGTTAGTTAATACTATTCTAATGTAATCAATTGTACTGTGATATTTGGGCATGAAACTACAGAGTGTATGATCAATAAAACTATTAAGAAACTTTAGAATAAGAAGCTACCAGTAAGCAGTCAGTCAGTCCAAGGGAGGCAATATTATGGCTTTGACTCATGCATTTTGGTAAGAAATAATGTGATAAAAAATATTCTTTTAAAGAATTCAAAAATGCATTGAATTTCAATTTGTCCAACTGACTTATGAGACTAAAACTTAGCTTGTAAAATGGAATTTACTTAGGAGAGTGTGGCTGAAGTAATATCAGTTAGTCCTTTTTGCAGGAAGTTAAAAATCAACAACTTTCCAAATGTATTTTACTCATAAACCTTACAGTATTATAGACCAAAAAGGAAAAAAAAAAAAGTCAATACCAATTGCATTTGCATTTAAATGCAATCTTACATTTTATAACCTATTGTAAAATAATAAATTATATTTCATTAAATAAATATAATTAGGGGGTGGCAATATTTTGTTCAAATCAGAAAATTAAACTCAAGCATTTACAAAACTAAAGACCACCCTCTCAATTATTTTAGATTCCATTAAGGTACTAGTTTCTCCATTTGAGACTTTGATTAAACAAACTTTGAGTCAATTATAAATTGATGAGCATTATAAATAATCATGCATATAGATGAATTGCACTGGTACAAACTACAGCTCTGTGATGGAGATGAGAAGAAATCTAATGATTTGTCAGAATCAAGAAAAGACAGATTTTAATAGAAAAGAAAATATCTTACTTGGTTAAGAATGTCTTGTTTCTGTGCATGCAAGAAAAGAAAGAATACATGTGTTAATAAAAGATAATTTATATTCATTATTTTGTATCTCTGACAATTTAATTAAAAGGTCAAATTTACTGTTTGATTTTAAAACATACCCTACATCCATGGTCTCAAAATGTGGTTCTGAAACAGCATCAGTATCAACTGTAAAGCTGATAGAAATACAATTTTTTGAGCACCAACCCCAAAATACTGAATCCAAAACAAAGGGGAGGTAGAGGGCAGGCAGCAATCTGAGTTTTAGTCAGACCCACAGGATATTCTGATACAAGCTAAAAATTAAGCAACAGTGAATGTGCCATTTTTTTGGATACAATAAGCAAACACCTCTAATTGGTGAGGACTAACTGGAACACAAATATGATTAAAATATTTAGAGAAAATCATGAAATGAGTCCACATACAGATATACTAGATTATAAATACACACTTTCCACTCCTAATGTCTTCTTCTATTAGAATGAAATATTCCTCTCTCCATACCTTTCTTTAAAAATAAATATTTTTTCCTATATATTCTCCTAACCTCTTTAGCTATTATTGGTACAATTGAAAATCAAATGTGAAACCCAGGACAGACAACAAACAAATGAAAATTCCAAACCAACGAACAAATATGTGCATGCAATGCCAAACTGTTTCATTCTCATATTATCAAATTCCTCTACTCTCGTGAGCTCATTTGTATCTGAGGTGTCTTTATAGTGCTTTAATGTCAATTACTACAAACTAGTTACGCTCTTTGTATTGTTCACATAATAACGTTAGGCATGACTCATGTATACTGCACTACAGTATAGCAATGCAAAGTCACCCAATATAAATGAAACACCTCCCTTTTATTCTTCTCATCTCCCAAAGTGTTCCCTCTTACTCTATGACTTTGCCAATGAAGTGAGAAAAGTAAATTTGGGACTCTAAACAACTAGACTTTCAAAGTGATAATTGTGAATCTATCTTGTTAATCTTAAAAAGTCATTGTACTTTCCTTAAAATGAGTTTCTTTTTTAAAAAACTTGATGTTGGGCTTTCCTGGTGGCCTCAGGATTAAGTTTCAGCACCAACATCACTGAGGCCTGAGTTTGATTCCTGGCCTGGAGGTTATCCACATGGCACAGCAGACCTGTCTCACCCACTGCTCCCCTTAGCAGTGTATTTTAGTTGATCTGTCTGTTCTCCTCCACACTCTATCTCTGGTGAATCATCTTATCCCTGTACCCCAATTATTATATGCATAAATAAATACAAATAAATATTTAAATAATTAATAAAAATTTGATAATTTTGTTCTTTGGAGAATCTCAGCATTTTTAAAAAGTTTTATTCTTATAGAATCTGTAGAACTATTGCTTAGAATTATAGTTTATGATTCTGTTATTTCTTCAAAAAATGATTACCAAATGGTCTCTAAAACATAGGTACTCACTTTAAATAATTCATCACATATGCACTTAATGTTTCTTTACTGTTAAAGTAGACAACAGGTCACCTCTTTTTTATATTGTTTTTATATGCAGTTTTTTTCAAAATTCAGTATTTCAAGTGAATGATAACCAAACCCAAACACTACACACACCATTTAGGCAGTTTTAGCTTGTAAGCGGAAAATATTTTAAGATATATTCAGGCTCTCTTTCTCTACCAATACTGTTTATTTGGATATAAACTATGTTCATTTCAGAAAACAAAGGATTATTTGTTCTACAGATAGATTAGATGACTCTTGTATAGCTTAGTATCAATATGTAGTCATACCTTCCAAACAAATTTAGGCTCAACTTGATTTAGAAACAGAGACTGATAGTTTCACATGTGAGTTGATAGGATGGATTGTTTCGTATCATATTTTTTAATAGCCACCTATAAACTTGATAAGGTCATTTATTAAAGAAAACTTCAAGTCCTTAAAGAGTTCTTTCTCAAAACTGAATATGACTATTCTCTACTGACTTTTGTAAAATACATATTAGCGCTTAAAAAGGTCAAATAAACTTTAAATTTTTCTCTTGGAGGAAAAATTCCCATTAGTGTTAATATTCAGAGTGGCTTGCTGCTAAATTGGAATTACTTTGAGTTATAATGAAATCTAACTCTGTGTTTTCAACTGTTTATTATTTAAATAATGCATTTCAAGGAGTTCTGTGCATTTATAGATATAGACTAACATATGTATGTCTAATCATGGCCCTAGTAATTACCTCCATAAATTCAGTATATATCAACTGGTAATCTATAAGAAAATATAAATTATCAGTAAGACTGAGAGTTCTTCAAGTATAAAAATCATGGAAGCAAAGGGACTACTCTGCAAATAAGATTATATTACCATGAAGTCAGAGCCAGCAGTTGTCTTTAGGGAGGAAAAAAAACAAAAAAACAAAAACAGAAAAGCCAGTTTCTCCCTGTGTACAAATTAGATAAAAGATTTTTTCAGGTAGGGTTGAAATATAGATGTTAATGATATTTTTGTGTCTCTCAGCAATTTAGTAAAGTTGTAATCTTTACCTTTCCCACTGTGCTTTATTGTTCTTTGAGATTTTCATTTTTACAAATTTGTCTGCCAACATTTTTTCTCACTTTACAGTGTCTAGGAAAATACAATGTGAGGAAAATATAGGCCAGATGTCTGCATTTTTTCCATATAGGGAATGGCTTTAAATTGCCCTATTTTTTTTTTTCCCAGTAGTGAAAGAACAGGTTTTTTTTTCTTTATTTTTCAGAAAGAAATGCTAGGTTAAAGAGTTTTTAAAAATATAATAACTCACCAGTTGATAGAGATAATAAGACAACATGATATAAAAAAATAGCTAAAATGATGAGAATTACAGAAAAGAAATAATAAAAACAATATGAAAGTTTTGAGATTGGGGTTTAGATACTGGGTTGGGAAGAACTAAATGTAGGTTCTATAAATCCCAGAAACATATAATTACAAAGGGTAACCAAAAACTGTGTACTCTTGCAAACATTCAAAAACACAATGACAATCATAAACAAAAAACAGATGACATCTTAGTCAGCAAACAAATCTGTCTAGATAGTTAGAAATATTCATGCAGCAAAAGTGTCCTTTGCAAGAAGCAGCTTGTTTCAAAATCCACACAGCTCTAACTACTTCTGCTGAAGCAAAAAAAAAAAAAAAAACAAAACAAAAAACCTCATAGCATTTAAACTGTACCATCTCTATTGTGCTTATTTATATCTTACTTATACTAAGTAGAAGATCATTTAATAAAGACTTAAGAGGGGAAAGTATTCATTCAAGCACATTGTTCAAAAGCAACCAATTCCACATGAAGTTTTTAATAAGGAAAGAATTTTAGGAAATTTTCAGCTTACTGGTAAGATGACAACTAAGATGAAAAAAAATGTAAAAACTGAAGAATGATATAAAGATATATTGTATAAAATAAATAAATATAAAACAGGGGGAAGAAATTCCCTTTATTGTCCAACCTTGGTCTTTAAAGTGATAGACAAGATAAAGCCAGCCCAGGATATTTCTTTAGTCAAGGTACCAATTTCTTGAAATAAGTAATTATGCAGCCTTACCCCAGTGTTCATTTAAGTTAAATTTTGTAGGTGATAGGTTGAGTCTGACACTTTCTCTCCCTTTCTATCTAAACCAGTTTAGACATCTAGAAAAGGAAACTAACACTACATGGTAAATGATCTGCACTCCTTCAAGCATACAATAGAGTGATATAAATTTCATGGCAAAGAGTTTTTGGATTAGAAAGTTACCACAACATTTTGTATCTACCAAACTAGAATTTTACTATGACTTTCATTTTGTTGAGATTCTGATATACATTATATATGTTTACAAGAATTCTTCATTAAATAATGACCCACCCCCCACAAACATGTCTATGAAACTGATAAAAAGAAAAGAGAAGTTTTACCCCTTCAGGATTATACTTTGCAAGCACACCATTACCATGAAATTCTTCAAGAACATCCTTCAATTTCTTTGTAGAATCTGTAAAGAAAATATACATTATTATTTTATATGCCTACTGTGGTTATATCCCCTACTGTAGATAGAATATATATATATTTTGGTGAATATATTAAAATTATTATACAAAATGGTTTAACATTTGTGAAAGACTATCTAACTGGATAACTCACACTTAAAAAAAAAAAACTCACAGTGCTCAAGAATAAGGCCATTGACTATATGTTACAGGGATGAATAAGCAAGTAATTCAATAGTACCAGCTGTTTTTTCTTTGTATTGATAAATAATGTGTAAATCAATGAAATAGCTTTGTATACAAAGATAAAAGGTAACAGAAGGAGTGAAATCCTACATTTATGAATCATATATAGTATAGGAAATCAATATGCCTTCATTGAAAAATGAAATAAAATATTAGCATTATTTGTTGAATTTTAAAATTTACAGCTTTTTTTTTTAAATATATCATAACTCCTTTAGCCCTGTTGGATAAATAAGAAAAATTAAATATGCAACTAAGACTCTGTGGTGAGTCCATTTAGAGTTTCTCTATAGATTTTAGTAGCTTATCATTAATTTTATAGAAAATTTCCTATTATACCTAATGCTCAACACTAAAACTTATTTTAAAAAAGAAAAAATTTGACATGCAATGCCAAAAGTATTTCAAACTACATTTTTCAACAGTTTAACAATATTTAAGATGTTCATCATAATATTATGATAACTAAAGAATACTTAACTGATATGGGAAATAATATGAAACAAGTAACATTCTCATGTAAACAATTACATATATTCTAATATTAATATTAATATATGGATTCAGTCAAATGCTTCATAGTTATCAATATAATTTTTGACTTGGTAGTCTCAGAATTACAATTTATTTAAGTTACAGGAAAACACTAGTGAAAAAAATATTGAGTTTTCTAAATGGCAAATCAGATTTGAATCACAGTGTAAAACAAAACAGTAAAACAAACAAAATCAGAATAATTGTTTCTAGCATGTGTATACTATACTTCCTGCTTTCTGCAACTCAGTATATTTAAACTACCATAGATAGAATAGTTCCTTCATTCAAAAAACTTATTGAAAAAAATCAACTTATTGATTTTGAAACACCTTTTTATTCATCCATAGGTGCCCTGGAAGCAAGTCATGCCTATATCTTTCAATTGGTATGTGCAATTTTTGTCACTATATGTTGAAAATTTGGTAGGGATTTTGCATATGTGTGCCTGAATTTATTTACTGTGCTAAAACTCACATATGATACATTTTCTATGACTATCACCATTTTAAAGTTTGCAGAGGGCAAACTTTAGTATATTCATTACATTGTAGGACCATTTACACTAATTTGGGAATCTTTATGTTACCCCACACCTCCCCCCAAAAACATATGTATTAACTAGATACTACTCATTTACCGCCCTCTGTAGGTCTTGACTATTTCTAAACTATTTTCTCTGTCTATGGACCTACGTATTCTGCATGTATCTTACAAAAAAGCAGTTCTATAATAGATTACCTTTTTGCTTAGTTTCCTTTACATAGAATAGTGTTTCTTCATGCATGTACATTGTACAAGGTATCTAGACTTTTCCTTTTGGATCCTGTTTAATTCGCATTTGATCAGGCACTTCTAATAAGTAACCATGTTTTTTGGTTTTTGTTTTTGTTTTACAGCACATGGGTACTTAGGATATTTATTTAGAGCTTTGAAGTAAGTCAGGAGATCTATTTCCTGAAAAGACTATTTAGTTAGAAACATAAGTCAAAAAGGCACAATCATCCAAGTGTCACATAAAAATAATTTGTTTGAGGGACCCTCCCTGGTGGGGCAGCAGATTAAAACACTGCACTAAGAAGCTTAAGCCACATCTGCATGAGTTCAATCCCTGCCTGCCCCGGAGGTGCCACATGGTGTGGCAGACCTCTCCTGACCCGACCACTGCTCCCCTCAGCAGTGTACTTTGTCGATCTGCCTGTTCTGCTCCCCACTCTGTTTCTGGTGAATCCTCTCACCCTCCGCATCTCTGGTCTGTACCCCAGTTCTGTATGAATAAATAAATAAATAAATCTTTAAAAAATAATAATAATAATTTGTTTGAGGTTAAGAATAGTAACAGTTTGTCAAGGTTGAAGCAAATCTATCTCCTAGTGAGAGTTTTGAGACTATTTGCTCACCTTATACTAGATTAACAATGAATTAAGCACACACACACACACAATGAATTCTCACTTGTATGAAAATTACTTTCAGTTAAATCCTCCATTTCTGCTTCTTTGACAGTTTTAGCCAGGTTTTTTTTTTTTTTTTTATGTGTTTCTTGGCTATTTGTACATAATCTTTGGAGAATGTCTATTCAAATCTTTAATTGTTGGGTTTTTGTCTTACTGGGTTTTTGCCTTTTGTTGTTAAAATCTTCTGGCCTATGTGTGCATGTTAATATTATATATATACTTTTTAAGTCTGTACAATTTTCTACATATTTCTTTTTCTGTACATATTTACTGGCACTGTCCACACTCTGATAAAGGTTAGCTTATTATGTTGTGTCATTTGCTAAACTGTGTGTTGCCCTAGGGAAGAAAATGTACATTTTCATTTCTGCACAACATTCAAATTTTTTACAAAGCTGAAACAATACAATTGCAAATATTAGGATTGACTTATCAGAGTTATTAAAAAATTACAATAAATTATAGTAATTGCTTCAACATACACTTTGGCAAAAACTTACACTACCACAGAGACCAGATTTTATATTCAAAAGGGCCATGAAGCTGATTCCGTACTCCACTTTTTTGTGTGTGTGTGGCTGATAAAGCATCAATCTCAGTTAACAGAACATCTTTTACTTTTTATTGTTTATAAAGTAGATGCAGATCTGAGAGAGACATACACATATATTGGTGCATAAATTCTGGAATAGCATATCCCAGCAGACTATGCTTATTTTAACCATATTTTGAACTCCATGGACTAAACTGAAGGAAGACTAGTTGGTTTCTTATACAAAGAAATTTCTCAGATCTTTAGAGACGCTGCCTAAAGGTGGGCTTTACATTCATGTTTCTATAACAGTAAAGAAAAAAAATCAATGACTTATAAATCCTCCAGAGATGACAACAGAGCTTTAAATTATTCATATCACATTTTAGTGGTTTAATGGGCATCATATATATCAAAATATTCCTACTAAGCAGACCACAAGGAATACAGAAGTAAATAAAAACCAAAGTCTCTATCTATAACTGTCTTTTCAATGATGACCTTCTCTGAGACAATTTAAGAAGTTCTCTTTCACATTCAAATGAATCATCAACTCAACTTACTCCTTTTGTAGTTCTCATGTTCCACTTCTAATCTCTTTACATCTGAATTGAATTCAGAATCCAATTGTCACTTCACAATCAAGTTTTAAAACTGTAGTATTATCTGTTCTACCTGTCTGGATAACCCGTCTTGAGCCTAGTCTCTAAGAGGAGAACTTACCGACCCAGTCAATCTTCTAAAAATGGAGATTTTGGTATTGAAACACCAGCAGATTTCTAGATATACAAACTGGGCCCCAAATCCTTTTCACAGAATTTCTTTATGTGAACTGTCTACATATCTGCTTGAACTACCAAATTGTATTAGATTGTGAAATTCTTTTTTTTTTTTAAAGATTTATTAACTTATTTATGCACATGGAATAGGATACATGCCAGAGGTGCAGGGGTGATGAGAGGACCCACCAGAGTCGGAGTGGAGAGCAGAAGAGGCAGATATACAAAAATACACTGCTGAGGGGAGCAGTGGGCAGTACAGGAGAGGTCTACTGCACCATGAGTCACCTCCCTGTCTGGACTGGAACTCGAGCTGGAGCTGAAGCAGCTGCATCTAGCTTCGCAGTGAGGCACTTCAACCCATCGCACCACCAGGGAGGGCCCAGATTGTGAAATACTTAATGCTATGCTCTACCTATCTTCTATAGAACAACAGACTTTTCTTTTTAAGTCAGCTCCTTTCCTTGATTTGTTACCATTGTATATCATATAATGATGCCTATCTTTTTGATTATTTCAATTCTAAATCATATCTGTCTAAAACGACTCTGAGGCAGTGGAGAGGAGAAAGGTTGTGTGACTGGATGTGGCCTTCCCTCTAGTAATAGACAATAGGGAAATGAGACCTGAATGGACAGACAGAAAGTGAGTGAAAGACATAGTCTCAGTCATATTTCAGTTAATATTGGAGTGTCAAGTAAGAGAGCACAGTGACAGATTCTGGGCTGAGCAATGCTGAGAAATCCAGGCAGGCAGCCAGGAAGCAGGCAGCTGTGAGCTGGGAGATCGATTCACAGTTAATACATATTTGCAATGGGACAAAAAAGCCTGGTGTCCTGGAAGATTAGCCAGCAAAGTGCTGGGAAGCCAGGTTCAAACAGCTGTTTTAGTCCTTAGGATAAGAAATCAGGACAGAGTCTCAGCACAAGATATTGGGGTGTCCCAGAAAGCAAAGGAGAGCAGTAACTTGGGAAAATTCTGAAACACAGAGACACTTCTAGAGTTATTGAAAAAAACAAAAGATTTGGAAACATTAGCTATCAATTTCTATCCTTTGTCTAGTATGTCTCTTATTATGTAATTTAATACTAATAACTACAACAGGGAGAAGGGGTTCAATTTAGATTGCTTTATCTATCACAATCATAAGATCCAGGAACTGAAATGGTATTGAGTCTGAAAGTAGGTGTCCTTTTTTTTTTTTAAAGCAAGTACCTTTATTATAGTTGTTAGTATTATAGAGATATTATTAATTTACTAATAATATATATTATGTTATTATAATACTTATTATGATGATGATTATACACTGAAACAAACAGAAAATATATATATAAGGACAGATAGTGTAGATTTTTCTTTTATGGCTGCTCTTCTAGCTCCTATTCTAGGGCTTGAGTCATTCCAGAGACCCCCTACAGAGCCAGCTCCCTCTGCATCTGCTCATGTTTGTG